TAAATGGTCTAAGATCATACAGTTAAATGTCAGAATTCAAACTTATGTCTGTCTAATATGAAAGCTCATGCTTTTAACAGCTATACTTAACTGAAGGTTCTAGTTGATAATTTAGTAGAATGCCTAATAATTATACCTTTATGCCTCTTTTTTGAAAGCCAGGATTTTATATATGCACATTATTCAGAGAGTAGGAATAAAAACTATTAGCTATATAAATTCCAACTATATAAAACACATAAAAAATGTGTTTTTTGGAGGGCCAGTCGCCATGGCCCCAAATGGCGACTGATTCTCTTCTAAAACATATTTCATAGTAAAGGTTATGAATGTACATCTAAAAACCTCACAATTCAATTCCCTAAATAAAGTTCTGCTTGCTTCTTAATACCCTAGTTCGGGCAGTAACTGGACTTCTCTCAGTTATAAGCTTATGTTCATATGATCTTTTAGCAAAGATTTAAATTACCTGCTCCAATTCTAAAATCTCTTCCTAAAAATCATTTATCCAAATGGGATCATTTTTGGTCAAAGAACTGTTAGGTCCAGGCTTATGGGTGACAAAGAATGCTTCAACTTTGAGTACATTTAAATATATTCACAGATCTGTCATTAAGCGAGTATATATCTGATTTTTTTTTCAAGGCAAACACACTTGACAAGCTTACTAGTATAGAACAATGAATGTTTTTTGCCAAATTCAACTTTACTTTCCTCATCTCAGACTAGCCTTCATAATAATCTGCTTCCATAAAAAGCACAAGGCCATGACCAAAAGCAGATGTCAGACTCAACTTACAGTGAACTTGTATTTGTGATTTTCTTAAGCCATAGTACCTTCCATGATAGCTTTTGTTTGTTCTATATTTTTGGCACTGCCATAAGATCCTTATTATTATTTTAAGAATATTTTTGGAAAAAGTAGATAATTTATTGTTAACAGACATATATGTAACATCAAATTTTTTATTTTTAACTCTGGCAGTTAAAAAAACTCCCAATAGTTAAATATTACAGCCTCAAACTCTAAATATATTTCTAACTTTGTCCTGTCTACAACATTTTTGTCTGTAAATTTTCTTGCTTGGGGAATTCTGCAATGGCTTTTGGCCAAAACCAACAAAGTTATATCCTAGATGTTAGAAGAGTTATACCTGTTTTATGACTGAGGCATCAGTGGAAAGGAATTCAAGACTCTTAAAGCTTATTCTATGTGAAAGTTGTAATACTTCACCATTTATTATTGCAAAAGCAATTTAAAGAATGCTTTAAAATAAAATGATACTAATCAGGGTAGATTCTACTTAATCATAGTTAAGGGTGTCTTTGCATCAGATCTGAGACACGTAGATATAATATACACAACATGGAAGATTCAAACTATTTAACTTTTATTGACAGTCAAATCTATTTTCCAAATTTTAAAAATGAATGTTCCCTCTTCCTTCTCTAGAGTAATCAGACCCTGTTGGGAGGCTTTTCCTAGATTTTCTTAGAATTAATGAACTGAGCCTCTCCTGCTGGAACTGTGTGGTTCCAATCCAACCTCTCCTGAACAGTTCATGAGCTCTGTCATCTGCTTTCACTGTGGAAGGGATTCCCATAGTGTTCTCATTCATGTAAATGAAGTGGGCAAATCAAAGGGAGAGATTTTCATTAAGAAGGCTTTTCTCTGACGTAATGCCTTCTAAAACAGAAAATCATTTTATATAAAGTTCATTTAGGATCAAATATGGTATAAATGGCCTCTAACAATTAGACTTCAAATACAGAAGAGCTGAATATTACATTATTTTCTATTGAATTCCCTGGTTCTATGCCAAACATGTCTTGGCTGCAACAGAAGAGTGAGGAGGCTTTTATATTTTGGGGGAAAAAAGAACTATGAAGGCTCTGCAAGGGTGTAGTTGCAATCTGAAACTCTGCAGAAATTCTGGAAAATGAATGAAGCTCTTTTACAATTATAACTTTATAGATAGGATTTACTTACAAACTACAGGAACTTTTATAATACATCCCTATATAAATCTAACCCTTGCCAATGGGACTTACTATTTATTTAACAGCAACAGTGAACCATATGGTTTTGTTCAGACATGCAAGGTTAAAGAATAGATTTTATATCCAGGAAAAATCTCTCTTAAAGAGAAAAAAAAAAAAAAGCTTTAAAAACAAACAAAAAAACAAACTTAAAACATAAAGTAAAAACCAATCATAGCTATTTAAGAACAAAGACCAAAACCTTTTCAACCAACTAAGCATGAATTAAGACAGAATACTAAATCAAAGAAAATTAGTGAGCTGTCACATTAGTTCAAGAGCAACAGTGTTTGTTGCTAAGCAAGAGCTATACAGAAAGAATGCAGTAAAATCTTGACATACTACAGAACCAAGAACAACAACAACAAAACAGCCCAAGCAAAAAATCACTTCACAAATAAAACAAGATTTCATTTTAACTTTAAGAATCTGATAGGGCAGTTGCTTTTCTCAAAGGAATGAAACAATTTTGACCCCCCGCTGCTACTTAACTTTATCTAACAATAGACCATTTAAAGATATATCACTTCTGGTGAAGCTATTCATTTCACCTAAACTACATATAGTTTTAATCTCAGAAGAGAACTTTACCACCTACAGGCTGTATGCACAGACTAAATACAACACTTGTGCCTGATTCTGAATGGTATCTTATTTCAAAATGCTCTCTTAACTATAGCTCTTGCTTCTCAAGCTGTGCTTTCAACTTGTCAGAAGCTGCCTACAGTAACTAAAATTGGATTCACACAGAAAAAAAAAAATTTCTTTTAGGAAAACATATGCAGTAAGCACCTTAGCATCTGTTAATATTAAAACCAGAAGGCAGTATGTTACATAGGGCAGGCTGTAAAATTTAATAATTCACAACATTCATTTTGAAATATTACAGCAATCTTTTAAAACAATGGCATACATTTCCTCTGTTCAGCGAATATCCATTCAGAATCTATATGCCAGGTGCTGAGGATATAAGGATTAGCAAAACATTCATAAAGCTCCACAGGTTTTTAAAGCTAGAAAGCAAAGAGGTCATCTTCCAATTTTTCTATTAGAGGAAGCCATTCCTCAACCCCTATCCCAATTAGGAGAGGGCTGAGGCCCACAAGTTTTTGTGTAAGTCAGTTGTGATATTTATGGGAAACTTCTTCCTGGAATCCAGTGCAGCTAGCACAGATCCTCAGGTGAGCCTTTTTAACACGTTGCCAAACTATTGTAGTTTTCCAAATTCTGATTGCTATTTATAGTAATGCTGCTCTTGGGAAACGCTTTCTGAGTTCTAAGACGACATGAACAAAGCACTTTCTGGTTCAGCCCAGGCAGTGGAACCCTTCCAGGTCTAAGCTGGTAATTCCTATGGAGAGGAGAGCCAGAAGTCTCAGATGAGAACAAGGGAAGGAAGCAGGAAAAACAGCACACTTTAGGAGTAAGGATAGGGAATGAACTCAAACTTTCTTCAATCCTTCTTTTTCTTTTCTCTTCACTGATCAGATAAATATGTGATAATAAGTGGAAAGGTGTCCTGGGTATAATCAGGTTAGGAGGGGGTTATGAGAAATAGTTTTCAGGGACGTACAGGGAAAGGATGAGAAATCCCCAAGAGTAACAAAAGGGGAAGACCTGTGGATGTGGCAGAAATGAGTCACTAACCAGAGTAAACATTTATATGTAATATATGTTGGCGGGGGAGTCATTAAAAAGTTAGCCTGTTGAGGGCACACTAGAAACATCCATTCAAATGATTAGCAACCATTGACTGTTTCTTGGATATGGGGTACATGATATCTGAGAGAATACAAATAAAGGGAAAAGAAATGAATCCTACACCACTGGAGCACTTATAATGCCATGCAAATTACAGTGTTACACAGAAATACTAGTTATTAATCATTTACTCTTATTACAGACAAGGAAGCTTTGTTTCAGACAGACTGAATGACTTGACCAAGGTCATACAGTCATGCTTAGTGGCAGAACAGGGAGACTTGAGCAATGAACTTTATATTTGACTAACATGTGTCAAAGCCATAAATATGTGATCTTCAGGTACACCATGTAAAATAAGACTGAAATAAGCAGGGAAAGGAAAATAAGTCAGAGTCCATCCCACAATCAGTGCCTCATGCACTTTGGAGAAATTAAACCACTGGAAACCACTCATCACACATTACAAAGCTACAAGAAAAAAAAAAGCAATAGTTTTCAGCAGAGACTATGCTTTTTTCAGCATGCCCAAGTCTCATCTTCTTTGGCCACTTCTCCCCTTTTGGTGTATCATCCTCCTACTACTCACAAAGATACTCTTAAGGTCTTTTCTTCCCCTCTCCCAATGTGATTTCAGGACAGGTTGGAAAACATCCTTCCCAAGGTGTAGAAGATTCATGACACTTTAAAGAAGTTATGCCCTTACATATATTCAAAATTAGACTTTATTTTTTAGATTAATTTTGGGTTCACAGCAAAATTGAATAGAAAGTAGATTTCCCATAACCATCTCCTCCCCACTCCTGGGTATTTTACTAGATATCAAATACTGAAACAAAAGTAAGAATTTTTAATCTGGGGTCTAGGGAATCTATTCATGGTCTTAATGGAGTCCTTGATCTATCAGATATTATATCATGAATTATGGAATATGGGTGTATACAGATTTTTAAGAAAGCAGGTTTCATCAGGTTCTCAAGGGGTTGGCATTCAGAAACAGCTAAAAGGCACTAAGGTAAAGAATAAAGTCTAAGTCCAGACATCAGGTAGGGAGACTAAAGGAATTATCTGGAGGCAGAAAGGGTTCATCACAGTCCCAAAATCATATCATATGGGTGGCTGCTATAGCAGCATAGTATCAATGTGTATATACCAAGGCCTCTTAACTTCAACTACGACTATAGAAATATCCTAGTTAACCAAAGAAATGCTTTCAAACATAAGATGGCCACTCTCTCTCTCTCTTTTTAAAAACATACCTTTAAAGCTTCTATAACGAGGTCCCTTGCTTCAAGCTCTCCTTCAAGAATACTGAATAGTGTTAGGAGTTCTGGCTTGCTGAGTTTTTCCAGATTCATCCTGAAAGCCTAAAACAAGGACAATAATCAGATAATCTCCAGAAGACAGAGGTAATCCGATACTATTTAAGAAAAAATAAAGTGAGATAAGAGCAAGAATCATAGTAGAAAATACTTTTAAGAAAGGAAATGGTTAACTAGGAATAAAACTACCATATGACTCAGAAATCCCACTATTGGGCATATACCCTGAGAAAACCATAATTGAAAATGACACACGTACCCAAAGTTCGTTGTAGCACTATTTATAATAGCTAGGACAACGAAGCAGCCTAGATGTCTACTGACAGATGAGTGGAGATGAGTGGATAAATAAGCTGTGGGACATATATACAATGAAATATTACTCAGCCATTAAAAGGAACACATTTGAGTCAGTTCTAATGAGGTAGATGAACCTAGAGCCAATTTATACAGACAGAACCAAGTCAGAAAGAGAAAAACAAGTGTCATATATTAACGCACATATATGGAGTCTAGACAGGTGGTACTGATGAACTTATCTGCAAGGCAGCAATGGAGACAGACATAGACAACAGGCCTGTGGACAAAGTGGCGGATAAAGAGGGTGGGACGAACTGAGGTAGCATGGAACATACACATTGCCGTAGGTACAACAGACAGCTGGTAGGAATTTGCTGTGTGATGCAGGGAGCTCAACCCAGTGCTCAGTGACAACCTGGAGGGGTGGGATGGGGTAGCAGTGGGAGGGAGGTTCAAGAGGGAGTAGACACATGTATACCTAAGGTGATTCATGCTGATATATGCAGAGACCAACACAGTATTGTAAAGCAATTATCCTCCAATTAAAAATAAATTTTAAAAAAGAAAGGAAATGGTTGTAACTAAATGTAAAAATAAGAACTTTCCATAAACTGAGCAGTAAAAGAAAATGAAATTCATTTTAATTATTGACTTATCACTATTTACAAAGATCAGATTTTCATTATTTTTCCCTCCTGGCATATATTCAAACATCCTAGAAGGTCTCAGAAAGAATTGTTATTGTTCAGTAGCTAAGTTGTGTCTACTCTTTTGCAACTCCATGGACTATAACCTGCCAGAGTTCTCTGAAACAATTAGTCACTAGTTTTATTCACTAGAAGTTCAGGTAAAATTTTGTTATAATGAATACTATTTCACTGAAAAACTGTTATACCATAAAAAGATATTCTAGTTTTAGACAACCAAACTCTAACACTGTATATAAAACACTCTGGGATTCCTCTGATATTGGTTGAAATCAATTTGAGCAAAGATAATGTTTGGTGGGAGTGCAGGAGAAATTTTTCTTTTAAATTGTCTACTTTCACAGGTAACATCTATCACAATATTTATATTTCACAGTAAAACAAGACTTAAGTGAAACCATGTACAAATGTACTTTTAAATAAGTGCTTAAAATATATTGTTTAAACATCTTAATTGGCCAGGCTATTATAAACTGAATTTATTCGACTTAACAAGTTCACATTTCTATGAAGTCTTGCATCTTTTAAAGTACGTTAAATGGCAAATTGCATGGCACAAATTCAACCCTTTCCATAAGATTAATTTCTCACAAACCACACATAGATAGAAGTTAGACTATGATACAATCTCTGAAGGCTCTTTGGCTAGTGTGTATGGTAAGACACATTTTATAACTTACAAAGTAGAACAAACACTGTTTTCCCTCTCCCACTCTCTACTTTTAAATTGCCACTCTCATGTAGTTTTTTTTTTTCCCTAAGTGAATCACAACATGACTAGTTCACACACCCTCTAGTAACTCCCAATTCCTATGAGCACATTAAATTTTAGGAGGCACACAAAAGAGTCATTGATTCCTTCTAGAACTACTGCCTTTAAGCGAATGAGGGCATGTAGAAAATACATACTTCACTGTGTTGTTAGATATCCTTCCAGAACATGCTGTACGAATCTTTTGCCACATGGTAAAATATGTTCAATGTAACTTCAGCTCTAACTGCTAAATTTCTAACTGGTGAGGGTTAGCCACTAGTAAATAATTCTCACATAGGTATTAAGATACCTCACAACAGTTACTTTAAAAATAAAAACTAAAAAACAAACAAACAAAAAACCCCAAACCCACAAACCTAATAAAGCTACACTTAAACATAGTATATTGGAAAAACACATTACTTTGCAGTCAGATAGATGCCAGGTTGACATCTTCCTAGTTGTGTGACTGGGCAAGTGTTCTGATTCCTAGTTTTCCTATCTGTTAAAATGAAATGATATCTAACTCATAGGACTGCTGTAAAGATTGACTTAATAAATACAAAACATCTTGCCAAGCTCCTGATACAAGCTGATCAATGCTTTCATTATTAAGAACTACTATCCTCTCTCATTTTCCAAAAGAATTCTGAGAAAGGCATTACCAAAACTAGGGACAGTCAAGATCAGTTACTTTAGTAATAAGTGACTCTGGCTACCCTTTTGTAGTTGGGAACCACAGATAAAGAAGGATGATAGATAGCATCCTGGAGTGAAGAGTTGTGAGGAATTTAAACTACCATTTGAGTCATTTAATGTTTCTTAGATGAAATCCTTCCCCCATTTCCTGATGGTTTCATGTTTTAAATCTCTCTCAAGGATATTATAAAGCAGAGGAATCATTTTATATCTTTCTTCACCTCTCCCCTGATGTTAAGTAGAATAATGAGCATTTGGTAAAGGGACTTTATAAATACTAACTGCACTAGTTGAGTAAATCAACTAGGAATGGAGCCAAAATGTATTTCCTTCAATATTTTTTTATTCCTTAAATATTCTCATTAAGAAATCTAAAACTGTGATTTAAGGAAGCAGTGTGATGAGTGAAGAATGTAGAATTTCAGTCTCAGCTCTGCTACTAACCAGCTATATAGTTTTGAGGAAAAAAAAAAATTATCTAGCTGCTCTGGCAGTGAGTTTCCTCACAGATGAACTAAAATACACTAGATAATCTCTAAAGTCCTTCATGGTTCCATTCTAAGCTTTCATGAGTGAAAATCAAGAATTATTTGTTAGAGAAGTCAAGTAATTATAGGTAAATATACAAAAGGAACTCAAACAGACTAACTATCCCTAAATCAAAGTTTTTTATTTGTTATGATAAATATACATCCTCAAAAAAGAGTGAAATTGAAACAGTCTTTAGTCCCTTTAATTACTGGGTTGGCGAAAAAGTTCGTTTAGGATTTTCTCTGAGATATTATGGAAAAACCTGATTAAACTTTTGGCCAACCCAATATAAAACGGTCTAGTCTAAGCAAGAAAAAATTCTGTTCTTTGTCAATGGCATAAAGAACAATATTCATGTTACATCTACACTAGGAAATAACTTCTGCACACAAATTTTAATATCTGGAACATTTTGCTAATCTGTACCAATTATTTAGCTTGGTGTCTACAGGAAGTGAATGTAATACAAACATGACACAAGAGAGAAAGAAGGGCCCCAGCTGTGTAATTCAAACCCAAGAGCTCTGTTTTTTGCATATTCCCACAACCATTCTTTGTAAATATTAAAATTTTCCAGGTTTTTTGTTGTCCTTTACATTTGAATCTAATTTCAACACACGACATACTGCAGTAACTTTTTGTCTGAAATATAAATGCATGATAGTAAAACTGCATTGAGTTTTAGTATGGCAGTGATATTCCTGGGGGTGGTACAGGTGGGGGATGGGGTGGGGTGATACTGACCTGATAACTTATGGTCACACTTTAGTCCTCAAGTATGATCAAGTATAAATTCTCAAAGTTTTCTCCAGTTAAAATTTGGGAAAACTGACAAATATATTTAAAATGTCATCAACATGGTGGAAAAATGTTCAGTGCTGCCAAATAATAGATTTGTTGTCTACGTGACCACACTATGAACAATCAGTAAATCCTCAGAACGTCAACTGTCGTCATAGCTGCAGAGGCCTGGCAGCTGTAGGCTGAGAACAGCCACTTCAAGACGAGGCTGAGCAAGTGGAGAAACTACCAGGAACCTGCCTTCCCTTTTGCAATTATAATTAGGGCAAGTGAGGCCTTTCAAAGTCCTTTTTTGCTTTAAGATGTCCACTGCCATTTCCAGGACATCTTATGAATGTCACTAGAAGAAACTGACTTTCTCTACCTGAACTGACAAAAGCCTATTTGCTTGAATCACAATGACTTACGCGCAATGCACTCAGATTTCAAAAATAACGTGATTACAAATGAACTTTTCAAACTGCCAAATTCCGGTAAGGAAAATTCTCATCCCTTTATCTTATGCCAATCAATAAACAAATCAATCTGTCACTTTGAAGGCTTATTACTCATCCCAGCTCTACTTTTTCCCACTTATTTTCAAATATTAAATGCTGAATTATATGTAATTTTTGGTTTATGCTTTTTAAATAGTGTATTAGACACGGCAAACTTTTAAAAAAGATAGGCCCTAAATTTTATTTGATAGAACTTAATTTCCATCTTGCATTTTAAGCTTCTGAGTTCATCTGACTCCAATTTCTGCCTAATATGTATATAATTTGGTCTGAGATTTTCAGAAAAAGGCTGTTTCTAACTCTATATTCATTATCAGAAATATGACTGGCATGTCACATCGTAGTCTACAGACTCATTCTCCACTTATTTTCTAAAAGAGTTGTTACCTGTCATTGTCACTGGCCATTAAGTAACTGAGAAAAACAAGATCATTTCAACCAGATGCTCAGCTTGTTCCTTCCAGCAGAATCTCTCCAAGACCCAACTTTCCTTAGAGTTTAGATGCAGATATTTCTGCCTAAGGAATTTCTATAAATTTGAAATAAAAACCACTTGTGGACAAGTTGTCTGTATATATTATCATACACTGGGGTATAGCTAGCTGTAGCTATATTAAGCTTTATAGTTTTTCTCAATGAAAAAATACATATAAATATATACAGTAAAAAGATAAAGTTATACATACTACAATACCCTGGAAACATAAGCCTATTTATAGACTAAATATGAAGCTTATTTTTAAGTTA